ACTTGCTGCAATCGTAATAGAGACCGAAACGGATTGAATTATTAAAATTAATTCAGATTCGGATAACTGAATTGAGTGCCGTAACCAAGGATATGAATTTATTTGTTAAAGATGATGACAAAAAATGCCGTGAAGGAATGTCATTATGTGTACATACTCATTGCTCTTGGTCAAACTTAAATAGCTATTCTGTGGTTTTTATCTGGAAATCTCAGAACTTTTGGTGTGCCCTTACTAACTGGAACCGCAAACATTACTTCTGTTATATATGTATATCATATTGGCATTGAAAGGAGTTACGAACATAGGATATCGATTCTGCTCTACTTTTTAACATTATTTATTACGCGGGGCACTACGGCGAAGCCTACGACTATTTTAACAAGTCTCTTGAGATAAACCGTTAATATACAAGAGTACTTGAGCAGAGAAACGTGGTTGATTTTTCCATTGGAATCAGTATATGCTGTCTCAAAAACGGTCAATTAAACCAAGCTTTTAACTCTCTAACTCTGGCACATCGAATTCAAACAGGATATCCACTGTAAAAAAATATCTTTTGCTATTCGCAGCCTATTCACTCAAAGTGAATAGAGCATTTACTTGGAGTGTATAATTTATGCTCATTAAGTGCATATTTCCGCCAAATTTTTGTCCATGTACTTGTCATTTGTATTACATCCACTTTCCATCTAGTGTATCCATGCACTTGTTTTTACCCTAGTGAATGTAAAATGCGCCGTTTATTCACTGGTTATTCACTAGGTACCATGTACATGAATTTGTGTCATTTACTTCAAGAAGTGAATAAAGTCATTTGCATGTCAGTTGCTTGCCATTCACTTTAGTGAATAGAGAGTAAATGAATAATAGAAGAATAAAACAAGAAGACTATTCTGCACTTTTTCCCCATCTACTAATGTGTGTTTAAAAGAGGAAAATGAGGGATGAAAGCTAGCTTTCCATTGGAACATACAGGTAACTTAGTAAAAAGAGATGAGATGCAATTATTCTTCGATTTTTGTTTTGTTTTATATAACATGTCAGTATTCATTATAGTCAGCATATTCAGCGTATAATACGAAATCGATGTCAACGTTTTTTCCACTGCCCGTTGTTCTTACATCTTTTCACTGTGCACAGAAAACTGTCGAATCAGGCCTCGTTTCTAAAGAAGGAAAATAATAGAACCGTATCAAATAAGGGATATCTTCTTCGCTTTTCTTTTCTGCACGTGCCTCACATTTCTCGTTCATTTCTGACACAGTAAAAAAAAGAAACAGAATGAAAAAAGTTCGTTCACTCACGTGGTCGTGTGCGGCAGTAAATTGTCATCTATAGAAGATATACGATCAGAAAGAAAAGAAATCTTGCCTAAAGAAAAGATATCTGAGGATATTTAAAAGCATATAAAAGCACATCACAGATATCTAAAAGCATATAAAAGCACATTTGTCTGAAGGAAATCTGAAATATGCCGATTCATTTCTTGCAAGTCTTTGGTATCTTAAAATGATAGAAGTTATCTAGAGATGGTGCTGCTTTTAGTTGAATAATGTATATCATTTATGAAAGAGAGGAGTAAACTTGTTTGGCTACAAGACTTAAAGAGACTTTAGAAAACTTTTTGTGAACGATGACTTAATAACAGTAAGTAAATAAATGAAAGCACTCAATGATTCAAGATGCCTAAGATTTTATATGCTTTTAAATATCCTCAGATATCTTTTCTTTAGGCAAGATTTCTTTTCTTTCTGATCGTATATCTTCTATAGATGACAATTTACTGCCGCACACGACCACGTGAGTGAACGAACTTTTTTCATTCTGTTTCTTTTTTTTACTGTGTCAGAAATGAACGAGAAATGTAATGTGTCAGAAGTGAACGAGAAATGAGAGGCATGTGCAGAAAAGAAAAGCGAAGATATCCCTTATTTGATACGGTTCTAATAACTTTTACAATATTTATACCGGGTTGTGGATCATCTTTTCCTCGAATTTTGAAGTGAACAATCAGGAACGCTTTATAACAAATTTAAGTCTTGCAGTTCAACAGTGCAGTTTTAAACACTACGGCACTCTAATACTTTAAATATTATACAGAGGATACTTAGATTCAAAGATATTGAATAAATTATTTTTGACTATTCTTATATATTACAACTATCCGAACGTTAAATTAAACTTAAAACTTCGACTATAGTGCCATAGTGTATTCTTGCTTGTGATTGCTCGAATTCATCAGTCGGTAGATAACAAAGAACTTATTTCGTTACTTTTCTCGCGACTAACACACTGTAAATTCGTTTCTGAGAAAAGTCCACAAACAAAGTAAAGCAAAAAGGAAGGTTTCCATCCGAAAAATCACGGACTTTTCTTACAGTCAGGCAGAAGAGCATGTGAAAAATCATTCATGGACTTTTCTTTATATGCTGTAAGGTGCAAAGGTCTGTGAGTGATTTTTCACAGACTTTTTTCAGTGACTATAATGACTACAGACATGGAGATTTTCTATTCATTTTTCAGTTTGATCAAGTACGTGCACATCATATCGCAGGGACTACGATTTTCAGTGCTTTTTGAGAGTTTTTCTTGGTAGTAGGAATGCCGAAAGTCCCTCTTGCTCTAGTTTGCATTGAAATGACAATTTAGCTCTCTTTGAATCCTTTTTTTGTGAAGTCTTGTTGATTCGATCTTCCGTGCTGCACTGGGTCAGAAGAAGAAAATGATCTTTCGAGTAAGAATCGAAGGAAAGCATAACTGCAGATTCTAGTCTTGGTAACTTAGAAATCTACCCAGCCCAGCGTTCTCTTTCCACAACACACAGTGATTGAAACGCGTTCGTTCCTAGAACTATTTTCTGATTAGCGTTACGGTTACCAAAGAAAAGACCCGTAAGATGTCATCCGTCAAGTTCGTTCTAAGTTAATATAAGATGAATGTAAGGTGATGTGCCGCAAAAGGTTTTAAGATCAATCTGATGAATCTGTTTTCTTCTACAGATAGTCTCTTTCACCCATTCGACATCTCTCACCATATCTGACTTTAGCTTAGTCGAAAAGCCAGAAATCGTACTATTTTTCTCATCGCTACATCTTGGTTTGCGGAAGATGGTTTTTGTGCTTGATTAGAGATAGAAAAACAGTACAATTTGTGCCTCTTCGACCAAGCTAAAGTCAGATATGGTGAGAGACGTCAAATAGGTGAAAGAGACTGCCTATAGAAGAAGAAAATGGCTCAAGAAGTGAGCTATATAATAAGGAATCTAAGACGTTGTAACGCGATGCGATCGGTCAGATGAACTTTGTTGCGTTAGAACGTGTACGATACAGGGCAGTTTCCAACCCGTTCAGAAAGATTGGTCTAGGAAAAGCACTTATGACTCATTCTATTGAAGAAAGTGCATTTTACTCAATAAACATGGACATAGCATGCACTTGTTATGCACTAAAAGTGGCCATTAAACGTACGTAAAATATTGCATGGCATGTGAATGGCAGCGTTGAATGCACTGCCCATCCACTCATTATGCACTGCGATGCTTTGAAAGTCCAACGAAAATACAGTGGATTATGCACTACCGATGTAGCTGACATGTATCTAAACGTGGCATTTTAGTACATAGTTCATTCATTTCCAATGCAAATACATCAACACATAGTGAATGGCAAGTAAATGGACAAAACTCATTCACTTGAAGTGAATTTTTTTAACAAAATATGCTCTTTTATTTCTATTAGTTACTAAAGATACAGAAACGAAAACAAATAAATAGAACAAACGTGTTAACTTAGACGCGCACGAAAGAGGGTGAATAAATACCAAAAAAAAAAATCACTTGATTAATATTTTGATGCTCTATTCCAGTAAACAATTCTCGATTTTTGTTAATCAGGTGAGCGTTTTTATTTCTGTGTAGTAAACGTTGAAAAATATTATTCGATTTCTGAATAGTCGACAAAATTTTTACTCTCTATGTTCGTTCCACTTGGTATGGATATTAAAACTAATTTTTGTATATCCAAGCATGAATTCGTAAGCAAAAAAATGTAGATACACTTGCTCTATCACACTTGCTTATCGCTCGATACTCCAGCAAAAGTATCTAGATAAAAGAGTAAAAAATATCGGATTATCTAGATGCATCGGGTTTTACTCGATTACACGATGCAATATCCGATGCATCCAGTAAGAAATTATGGTTGATAGAAAACAATAAGAACTACATCTAGCGATTAAGCGTACGGTTCGTCTAGCTGTTTAAAAAAAAGAATCGCTAGATATAAAAAGCGTTATAATTAGTTGTAAATCGAGGTGAAAAAAAAGGAAGAAAGAAACACAGCTCGTGCAGAGATTCGAACTCTGTACCTAGAGATCAGTAGTCTTCTATCTACGCCATCGTACCACACGAGCTTACACAAATAGATATACATTTTTCATTCTCTTCTTATTATTATGGATAGAAATAACACTAAATTAAAAATAACTAATTAACAATAATAAGCGTTTCTCACCATGATGGAAGCATTTATTAGACTTGAGTCTGGAACATGAAATGCTGGAAATTTAATTTCTTAAAATTTTTCTACTGGTGTTGGGTCTCTAAACGTTGGTCTTCAGACTAAAAAATGGTGTTTTGTGCTTTTTATCTTGAAGATCCAGTTGTACAAAGCTGAGCCTGGCAGATAAAATTTAGAAAACTAAATTTGCTACACATTCTGTTCCAAACTCAAACTTGAGAAGTACTTTGTTCGTGGTGGAAAACTGAAAATTAGCTTTAAAAAAGTGGTTTTCTCGAATTTTCACTGTGAAGGGGATGTTTTCCAAACTCGAACCTAGAAGATGAAATTTAGTAAATTAAATTTCCTCAACTCTCTCTGTTAGGCTCAGCTTTGTACAACTTGAGCTTCACGGTGCAAAATGATAACTACTGTTTCTCCTCATTGAGAACAAGGTGATTTCTCATTAGTTGCATCTAGCTGGAAATCGCCTTACATTAGATGCAGCCCTCGATTTTAACGATAGGATGGAATGGAATTGACTTAAACCGGGTTCAAGCAGATGAATCGATCGATATATCCTACGATGCATCGCCCAACACATTATACGATGTATCGGCAGCTTTATCGGGCGATTTCACGCGTGTCTCATCTGCAGCCGATATACAACTAGATTCATCTTCCGATATATTGCCCGATAAATCGGGTTAAAATCGCTACTAGATACATAACTAGATACGTCTGGAAAAGAATCGGCTGTATCTAGATGTATCGGCCGATAACCCGATTCAACTTTTTCTCTTTTTTACGGATCTAGATGTATCGCGTTTTGTATCTAGTATATCTAGCTGCATCGGGCGATACCCGATACATTTTTCATGCTTGGGTATACATATATTGAGAACTTGCTGCAGTCGTAATAGAGACCGAAACGGATTGAATTATTAAAAAAAAAAGAAAAACTTGATTCAAAGCGTAACTTTTTAGTTGACTGATCCCAAGAGGATGTTTACTGTTCTTTGATTTTATTCTTGTTTTCCATTACATCAGTGTAAAACAATAACATTATACCAGTCATTGACATGTTGTTCTTATTCATCAACATTATGTTATTTAATCTGTTATTAAATGTCAACGGTATAACAACCAAATCGGCTTTGTTAGTAATCGACGTTCAATATGATTTTGTAAATGGTTCATTAGCCGTTAAGGGTGCCGATGCGATTATACCAGTAATAAATGATTTATATAAACAATCAAACGTATTTGAGTTAGTTATATTTAGCCAAGATTGGCATTGTGCCCAACATGTATCATTTGCATCGTCGCACTTAGCAGATACAACCGGACCGGCTCTGTCTGCCAACGATCCTCATCCACCACCATTTACTACTACACTTAATTTGACTTATACGCAACAAGGTGAATTATGTGGCTATCAGGAAAAGTATTCATCTATGGGTGTTGATTGTACACATGAAGATCACACTAGATTGATTAAGTCACATCAAAAATTATGGCCTGATCATTGCATTGAAAATAGTTTCGGTGCAAGAATTGTCGATGAAATTGTTATCAATAAAGAACGTGATATTATTGTTCGAAAGGGTACTAATTGTCATATTGATGCTTATAGTGCATTTTTTGACAATAATCGTCTTTCACAAACAGAATTACATCAAAACCTCCTGAATGCTGGTATTACCGATGTGTATGTTGTTGGTTTAGCATTCGAATTTTGTGTATTTTACAGTGCAATGGACGCCAGACTGTTGAATTATACCGTATATGTTATTAAAGATGCTACAAAAGGTATTGATGAATATGGAATTAGACATGCAACTCGAAAAATGAAAAAACATGGTATTATTTTAATCAATAGTAGTCAATTACTATCACCATGGGAGAATTTAGATGCTCCTAATCATACGGAAGACCTCTAGTATTTGTGAGAAAAAGAAAGAGGATGAACAGTTATCCTTCCCGTTGGAAATCATAGACAAATCAATAAATCTATATTTATTTTTTATAAAATACGTATAAATTGGGGGAACTGCATTTGCAGCATTTGGAAAATTTTCGAAAATTTCGTGTTGCAGCAAGTAAAAACAGGACCCAAACCAGGGATTATTGTAACTTAGAACTATATAATGTTGCAGTTCTATGGGCTTTTTCGGATCGTTTGAGATTTTTGAATGTTTTGGAATTTTAGTAGTTTAGAAGCATACATTTAAGTAGTTAGGCTCATTCTATTTATTACTCGCCTTTAATACAGATATGATTTGCTCGTTAGATTCAATATATATGAGTGATTTGCATAACCATTCTATCATTGCTCCCCAGTAGGTATTTTGTTTTACATATTACTAATTAGTAGAACGTAACTGACAAAATAATTTTTTTTCAATAACTTCCGACTTGTATATCACTCTGAGATACCAATTCATCTCGCTCGTTTGAAGTCATTTTCTTTTTCTTTGATGGAGCAAACTGTTTGCTATGCATTAGATGTTCTGCCTTCTCCGTATAATGGTTTTTATTCTAAGTTAGCCATTTGAAATCCTGAAGGAACAGATTTCATCAAAAGTGGTTCGTCGATTAAGGCTTAAACAATCACAGACTTTTTCATGTTATACGCCTATTACACAAATAGGTCGTCTGCATTGAAGTTCCTGCGGCGAATTCAACTTTACCGAAGCGTACTACTTGCTTATTTACTTTTTGCTGTTAAGAACATACGTAGCTCTGCAGAATGGTAAAAACAATATCGTTGGATTGACCTCTATCCTTCCTCTGCGTCTATGGCACTCGACGCAGATTTTCGTTCTACATCTGAATATGTATAAATGAAGGTTCCACAATGCATAGAAAAGGAGAAAAAGACCAAAAACTTCGGATTTTCCAGGGTTTAGAAAAGTTTTTCGGAAAATATTTTTCCCAAGTTGTCTTGAAATTCAGCCACTTCCGTCAACTAAACAATTTTTCTGATTTAACAGCTCCATGCAGAATTGAATTATCTATCGATCTCCGCAAACCGCCGATTTTTAGCATTAAATTTTGATTTTTCAGAGATGTTTTTTCGAATCCCTCGATATTTTGCCTCTGCAAACTTTTCGGAAAACAAAAAGGCATGGACTAGAAAGAGAATTTTATGCGCATTTCGAACATGAACTTTGTTTTGAAATACATCCTTTCCTCCGTCGGCGGCAGCCAAATCCTTTTCGACCAACTTTTAAAATTATATAATTCTAAAAGTTGGTCGAAAAGGATCTTCGATTTCAAAAACCTCTTTGGAAAATGGTCGATGACGTTTTGTCTATGTCTAAAGAATAAACTATTTCTGGAGAACACTTAACTCAAATAAGTTCAAATTTTTATCTTAGATAGTACTCATAGCAAGACAGCTCTGGTAAAAATTTAAGCTCATTAGCATTTGATTTGACGGAGTTATAGCATAAGCAAAATTTTCGACTGGAAAATCGCTTTTTTTCCGTATTTTACGACCTTTTTTGCAAGCGCTCTAGCGGCAAGGGAAAGCATTTTGGAAAAAAATGTCAAGAGACAAAAATGTTCAGGGCATATTTCTCTGTCTGCTCTGATAATTTGAGAAAAATCTGTGACAGTTCATTGAGCAACTTTGTTCGTCCCTATCGTGCACTGCCTCCTAGGAAAAACTTATTATTCTACGAGAAAGTTTTCAGATGCAATAGAATTGTGCTGTTCGAAACAAGATTTTGTGACTTTTGTAATCTGGATTCCGTACCACAGGCAATCAGTTTTTTCAAATTTTGTTGTACTCCTGAAGAATCCTTAGTATTCTTCGTAACTTCGCTGAGTCAGAAAAATTTTCCTGACTGTTTTTGAATTTTCCCCCATCTTTTCTGCCGCGTCTTTCCGGATTCCGAATCTCGAAAATCTGTAAAAATGACTGAAAATGAGGCTAAGCAGAAAAGAGCGATCACATGAAACGAACAACTACTTTCTGCAAATAATAGACACTATAGATAGATGAACATTCTGGCACAGTTTGAGCGACATCAAATGAAGGTGACAAAGGATCAACTCACTGCACTGAACACTTCTGTCCGAGCATTTTTTTAGCGAGAATAATAGTTTTATGACGTCTGCACTTAAAATCCAAATTTCACAAAGCTTTCATCAATATATAACGAGTGGACGAGAATAAGTGACCAATTTTTGTTCTTTGTTTTTAAGGTACTTTCCAGTAGTGCAAAGAACTGATTCTAGGCTTACTCGAGAGAGAATTGGATTCTTTGCAAAATCTACTTTTAGAATCTCTGAGAGCAAATTTTCTTATTTGAGTATCATTCAAAATGTTGAAGGGTGTTGCGTTGTCCAACTGCGCGTGCTTTTGTCGTTGCGTCTCTTTTAGTCTCATTGTCTGAGGTTCAATAGTTAATTTTTTCTATGTGAAAAGGCAAAGAGTTTTCTGCTCTATTGATCTCACTCATTTACAACTTCATACAATGTTTCCGCCTCATCAGCTGGACTCAGGTCTCAACCGGCTTTTCGATTTTTTCAAATTAAATTAATCTTTTTAATTAACGGTTTCAGTTGAGAAACTTGGTTTTTACCTTCAAAGACACAGAATTTAATCCTGCGTAAGATAATAAAACTAAAACTGGATTCAGAACGTTTCACTGCTTTTATAGCCAAAAAGCTAAAGTCTGTGAAAAATAAGTTCAAAGGTTTTTGTTTTTGTTTCACGGAGTAAGAAAAGGGAACTAATTAGTCTTTCGCTTTATAATATTTACTTAAAAGAAAAGAGAGGCTGAATCAAGAGGTTTGTCAAAGTTGCAGTGAAATTAGAATTTTACATTCTCACTAGTACACAGTCCTCTCATTGTTTTTAAATTCTGACGAGATGTGACTTAGTGGCCATTGTACTCCTCCTACGCAAAAAGTTGAAGCCTAGTACTGGGTACTAAAATCGGTTAGATGAATACTAAATTCCAGTGTATCATCCGTCGCCTGGGGCAATTTAGTACATAGTTAGTCTAGAACAGCTGGTGTTTGCTGTTTTGTCCAACACTGAAGTTGATTCAGTCATGGAATAGTGCGCGAACCATATTCGATTTTACTTTGTCAAAAATGTATAAACTAAGAGGAATTCGACCAAGAAAAACAATCGTTCAGATTGAATGCGGTGGCATGTATATAGAGTAAAAATGAACCCTTGTACTGGTTGTATTAAACGAGACAATGAACAATACCTGGTCACTGAAGCGTTGATCTACAGACTATACATCTTTATGTCTCTTTTAACTTGTTTCTACAAAACAAGTTTGTCACCTTCGAAATATAACAGGATACGAATTAGAGAGGGATGCTAATAAGAAGCCTAGTAATATTCTTCACATATCCTACCGGGACAGGAGAATTCGACACAAGCTAGCCTAAACACACCAGACATAGACGCCAAGAAAGCCGCTTTAGAAATGCCACACTTGGATGCATGGAAACAGATGAATAAATGGAAATTTCATGTTATATCGAAAGAGGACATCTGACATCTCATCTCATCAAGAGATGTCTCTTAATTATTTTAAAAATTCATATGAATACTTTGTTATCGAATCATTACATTTTAATTTGCTTAATATTTGTACGAGATAATTACTCAATTAATGCAAAAAAACGAAAAGTGTTGGTAAACTCCTTTTTAACAGTAATTCAAGCGTAAAAGTGAGTTAAAAACTCAAACCAAGTACATATTCTGAATGATTTCGATGAGCTCTACAATTTTTACTCCAAGAACGAGTTAAAAAACAATAACTGACGGTAAAAAACAAGGATTTTTACTCGATAAATAGAGCTAAAGTCGAAGTTATGCGAGAACTGCTTATCGAACACCACAACAGAGAAAAACTTCATTTTTTCTGCGTAAGTAAGAAATTCATAAAGGAGTACAACAAAAAACAAGTTTTAAATCGGTTCAGCCGAAACCGAGATATGTATATTTTACTTTTTCGGATAGAACGGTACAATAGTCAATAGTCATGCAACTGACTCAATTCCGCTCGGTTTGACGGCAATGATTGTTTATCATCAAGATACTTTTGCTTGGTATCGGAAAATCGGTAAAATAATATTTGAAAAACCGAGAAGAGTGCTCTTTGGTCTACGGTGGATAAATCACAATACGAACTAATTTTTTTCATTTGAATACTAGATCTAATCCGCTTGACGAGATCATTCGAGTCGTGGAGTCAGATACATATATTGATAAAAAATTTTCGACCGCGGTGTTTTCACGTTTTTATTCACCACAAGAAAAAATTACTCGCTTATTTATATATTGTTGAATAGAGCGCGATGAGTTAATGACGAATATGTGGCTTTTAAGTTTTTCGGACAAACTCTTAAGTGAAAAAAATTGAAAATACTCGAAGGATGTAAAATTTGAAAAAAGCGCTTAATTTTAAAAAATTTCAGATTTTCGTTATTTATGTTTACCTAACTTTTCGAAAGTATTGTTTTTTTGATTCAGCATAAGAATATGAGCATGGTATTTGATCTAGTGTGAGGTTAAAGGTCTGCCCAGCAGGGCTGTTTCGAACGCACCCCCTAAAGTGCTCGTAAGCAATTTTGCAAATCTATCCAGATTTTTGTATGAAGAAATAAAGCCAAGTTTCTTATATTAATTATGGAAGAATACTTTGAACGAACCAAGTCTTTTGAATGCTTTACGATGCGTAAAATGGAAGTTCTAAACATATTGTACTATACAGTGTGTGTGTGTGTACATTCATTCTGTTCTACCAATAGGTATGATATTAAAATACTACATGACAGTGATTCAAAAAATGGAATGTTAAGCAAATGTCGAGCATGTTATCCTGAAAATTGAATTGAACTTAACAGTAGTACAGAAAATAGGTGTAAAGAAAATACTGAAGCATTTGTGAAGAAACATTTCAAT